TAAAATGGAATGCAATTAATGTTGGCGGTTTTTTATGTTCGTTATTTTTTATAAATGTTTATTCTCTTTATATATATAGGATAGGATAATAAAAAATTACAAGCAGCTGACAAGATAAAGGAATATAAGAGTGATATTAGATTTTTGTTTCAAGCAAAGATCATGAGAGGATGAGCATTTTTCAAAACAAATGCATGATGAAAACAAAAGAAAAAAATGCAGTTTTAGTCCACTAACTTAGACCATTTTCCATTTTCGCCTAGTAATTAAGTCAGATTCGAAATTGGTCCAACAACTCTTAAACTTTAGTCAATTTAGTCATACTTCGACCCCAATCGTCAGAATCCGACCTGAAGTTGTTGAGCTGGAAAAATTTGGCATCGATTAGGCTGATGTGGAATGATTTGTGGCAAATTAATTGATGTCGACATTTTCATTTCTTCCACATAATTTTCCCTTAAATTATTTAATCTAACATTAAAAAATTCACCTCCCTCACCACCTCCAAAACCATTTGATTGGTGCCCCAATCCTCGCCACCACCCAAGCTCACCGTGCCGATGAAACGCGTGCTACTCGACCTCTCCGGTGGCTCCCCTCCCAAATCTCAAAGTTCAGCTCCCCGCTTCTTTTCATTGAAATCTCGTTGTTTGGTAAGTTTATCAAAAACCCTAAACCTCGATCTAGTGAATTTCTGCTGCCTGGTGCAAGTTTGATAGGGGTTCACTGGCGTCGGCAAGTGCTTGAGGATGCTTTTGTGGGGGTCACTGGTGGATTTAGAGCCTCGATGGCTACGGTAGACCTCTGCGCGCAAGGTTTTCGACGATTTGCCTGTGTGACTTTCGGCACCATGGAGAAGAACACAGCATTGAACGTGCTGAAACGAATGGTTCTTGGGGTGCGGTGGTGGATTTAGAGCCTTGATGGCCACGGTCGACGCGGCGCGAGGTTTTCCACGATTTTCTTGTGTGACTGTCGTCGGCGCCATGGAGAAGAACGCCGCGTTGAACGTGCTGAAACGGATGGTCCTTGGGGTGCGCGGGTCGGCTCCGGCGGTGCTGGGTGGATCAAATGAATTATTTTTTGATGAGTTTTGATTTGCTATCTCAATTGTATATGTAATATAACATAATAAGTTTATTTTTTATTATAAAATTAAATCATCTATCAATATTAATTAAAAACTAATAAAATATATCAATTAAAAAGTTTATCTGTAAATTCATTGAATATGAATTAGAAAAATTATTATAACATATAACGAACTACTCGTACAAATTTTATTTTTATTTATTTCTAACTTTAGTATAATATTTTAACTATGCCCATGCTTTTGCATGATGAATTAAATATTTGCAATAGGTGATGAATGCGCAGACACCACGTTTTTCAACAACACAAAAACGGTGGCCATTTTTTAATTGGGTCAAACTTGGCCGCCGTAACGACGAGCGGCAGTTTCCCCGTCCCCGCTCTATTCTTCACCACTAAGCCGCACCCACCTATTTAATCCTCTTTACGTTTCTCCCTAAATTTGCACTACACTAAAATAAATAAATAAATATCCTACAAAATCCAATTTTCCTCTTTTCTATCAATTTCATAGAACCACAAAACATTCCTCAAGCGAAATTAAAATCATGGACCCTTATAATGACTCCGCCTCTTCTTTTCAATATCAGCAGGCATCGGAAAACGGCGTCAGAAAACCGCCGCCGGCTTACCACGCGGCCCTCCACTCGGTCCGCAAGATTCCGGCGAGGAACATAATTACGAAAAAGCCCATCCAAGCGCCCCTGCCTCCGACCCACCCGAAAGTCTACAAAGTGGACCCAATTGATTTCCGGGATGTTGTTCAGAAGCTCACCGGTGCGGAGTGCTTTCAGCCGGCGCGGCTGCGGGAGGCGGCTCCGCCGCCCCTGAGCCTGTCCCCCCGGCAGACGGGGACGGCCGCCGGCGGCTTTCCGGCCCGAGGCGAAGATGTTAAGAGCCAGAAATCGGTGGAGAGCCCGATTGGGTTTAGCATGTCACCTTCGTCGCTAGCGTGGTGTACGGCCATGCTTTTGAGTCCTCGACCACTTTCCTCTTTGGAGCCAAGTGCAGCTCTTTAATTTCATTGATTTTTTTTTTTCCCTTTTAACTTTCGTATACTTTTTTTTCTTCTTCTTTTTCTTTTTTAATGAAGATAAATAAATACAATGTGGCGAGCTATATACACGACGGTGACATCTTCTACGGGGAGCTGCTTTTGTTCTCATTCTAAAAAAAATTTATTAATGTGAAGGATGAAGAAACTATTGATGTAATCTCAATTTCGGCTTAAATTTNATATTCCAGGGCTCAACAGCTTCATCGAACATAGACAAACACATACACAATATTGAAACAAAACATCCCGAGGTTTATTCATGAGTTCATCATATATACTACTCATTATCATTTTATAAGAACCTCAACACAATAAAAGGACATTTAATGATGTATCTATTCACAGAGCAAAGACAACAGTGATACACAGAGATACAACATAACGAAGCATACTTGATGAATTAAGACACGACTATGTCATCAACATCTAGCCAGTCATTTGACTCCTTCGTGCTCTCCTTGTCAGACGAGCTTTTGCCCAACTGAACCCAATCCCTTGAATCCTTATCCGAACTGTCGTTTGATTTTCTATGGCTAGCAGGCACATCACCATCATCGTCTTCAAGATCACTAAACGTCACGTCATCCTCATTCACGATTGGAATGCTTTTTCCAGTAGAGCTTCCTGCATCTAAAGTTTCTTCCTTTAACCAGTCGTCTGCATCATCTTCGTCTTCATCTACAGAAATACTCGAGGAATTGGATTTTTTCATATATTGTTCCTTAACTTGACTGGCTTCCTTTTCTTGAGTGACTGAGTTGTTGGCAGTTTTGGTTTCGTTTATCTCAGCTGGGTCCTTCACTATTTTGGGAGCAGCTGTTGCACCTGAGGTACTTATATTAAGATTAGCTGTCTTATTGGGCTCGTTTTCAGGAATAACAGGGGATGGCATAGAAAGGGACTCTTCATGATGAGAAACATCACTCTCCTCAGGGCATGGAGATTTTTGGCCGGAAGAGTTTCTTGGCTCAGTTGTATTTTTGTTCTTCAGTTCATGGCCCAACAAGGCCCTGGCTTCCAGTACCTGTACAGTGGCCCACATAAATAAATATGGTAGTAGCACTTATGGGAAAAAAAGATACTATGCATGGTTACCAAAATTACAGAGACATGCTTGGCCATTAATAACTCAATGTGGCCTAGTTATTTTCCTGGACCTTCATACTAAACATTTAATATCATTAAGAACCTGTTTTACTGAAGCATCATATATAAGGTAGAAAGGTATAACTATCTTAAGGTAAAAACATAATCTCATGATGATCATTGGGAAATGGAAAGATGCTATGTACAGAGATTTCGACACTAATCTTAGGGGTAGTGCAGTCAGGGCTTTTTAGCCCTTGATTTACACACACACCTGTGTGTCTGTGTGCGAAATCAAGGGCTAAAAAGCCCTGACTGGCCACATACAAGCAGGCATGAAATTCGCGCTATGTACCCTGAATATACTGCAGATTGTAAGTTAGGGTTAAATGTATTATCTTAAATGGCTCACATACTGCAGTAGTTTCAATAATAGAAACACAGAATACTTTGACCAAACAAAATATATTCGATTGGTATGTATATTTTTTTCTTTCTGGGAAACTGCATACAGCGCGTCCAACGATAGTTAAAAATTGCTCCAGCTCCAAAATAACTGAATGTATTGCGCACGGGCTCACCTAACTTGTACAGTTATCAGATTCTTTCCAAGGAGAATATAATATAACAAGACAAAGATAGTAATGACGGAAAACCTGGGGTGTTGATAGACGTTTGGCATCCTGCTTATCAAGTCTAGTATGAAGGAGCAGAAAATAAATCAACCAGAAGCAGCTCTCACTCATATATCCAGGGCAAAGTTCCATCCTTAGCACAGCTAATCTTGGGACCAGTCGTTCGACTGCTAAGGCATGCTCTTGTTGGGCATCAGTCATATCAAAATCTAGCAATTTTCAAGGAATAACACATCAAATTCTGTCTCGTGTACTTTTCAAATCACAGATATTATGATCCGCAAAGCATCACCAAACAAGAGCATTATCTTGTTAAATTCTAACATGCAAGCAGACTATATTGTAAAAGCATCATAATTATCTTCTCATTCACCAAGCATCTAACATGTCAATTAAGTGGAACTAAGGAAGTTATTGACATACAGGTGAGCTTGATCAAGATTATGCAAGAGCTTTAATGAGTTTTCCAGATAAGTTTGACTGCTTGAGCTTTTAACCCTTTCTAAACACATATCAAATAAGCTAAGAATTTAATACCTGTTCCCTCATACTAAAACATGATATATTATTTTGAAAGCCGACTAAAGATATATAGAAACTATAAGATTACTAAAATGACCAAGTTCACAAATCACTGCCCAGTGTTATAGGTAAGATTTTAGGATGGCTTTATTATGCTCAGCGTCAGATCGTTACATTTGAAAAGACCTGCATAGGCAATGGCTTTGACAATGTGAAACCTTTTACTGCCTCGTATGGAGTTATTCAATGTTTTGTGTTACAAAACATGGATTGTATGTACGAAATCAAATATTTTCATAACAATCAAACGTTAGTGTGTGCAATACAGTACACACTTTAATTTTAACTTCTTGTGCTGGCTACCTAGAAATATATACGGAACTCAAAGAAATAAAACATTAGCGAAGCAGAGTGTGAAGAACGCAAGACAAACCTAAAAAAATTGAGATTAATACAAGTCTATGCTCAACTGAGAAGCCAACATATGTGGCTTCATAAGAAATTAAAACAAGGTATGAATGTGTATTCATATGAATTTGCAGTTTTGCACACTTACTACAGAAATTTAACACCCAATATATTGTTGTCAAACTTAACGCAACCATTCTGGTAATATATAGAAAATCCACGCTGTTAATTTCTTCGAGTTAAATAACTTCTATATCAATGGGCTATACTAACCTGCATTGAACATGTCAGCTGATTAACAGAGAATAAGTACATAATACTTTTATTTGAAGTATAACTCACTATAGCTTTGATGACTAGCAATCAGCTAAAACCTTCAGAAATCTAATTGGTACTACCACATAGTCTAATCACAATCAACATTAACTAACCCAGCTCAACTTGTAACTCAGAATCTAACGCAATAAAAGAGCAAGTAAAAGACCAACCAAAACTGAAATCATAGAACAGTGAAGTTCAACTTACCAATATCTTCAGGTAATGGGAAATCCAACCAGGTCTCCGGATGCACAGCAATGTCAAGAACAAAAGCCAGCACTTTCTCAGTCACACCTACAGCTCCCTCCCCAAAGGACTCGAAACTCTCCCTGACTCCTGACCCTTCATTCTCATCATCCGATTCCAACTGCAGCAAATTCGATGCCAATTTAGTAATCTCAGAAACGTTGATGTTGTTCGACAAACGAGAAATCCCGCTCCTGAACTTCCCCCCAATCTCGGCAAAGTCACTTCGGATCCCTAAAATCGAGCTCTGATCCGGTTCCGACACGCCCGGGTCGGATTGCGGTTCGGGCTGCGGCGGAGGGGCTAAGAACGAGGCAACGCCCCAGAATTGGCGGGTTAGGGTTTTGCTGAGCTCCGAGAGATCCTCTTTAACGCCACGCGACGGTGACACGGGAGATGCGACGTCGTCGTCTCGAGATTCCGGGCTATCGGATTGTTTAGACTCCGGTTTCCGGGCTGCGTTGACGTCATCGTCGTCGTCATCGTCATCGAACTTGAGAGTGTTGGCGATAGATCGGGCCCACCAAGCCATTTTTTTATCGGTGGAAAGCGAATGGGATCGTCTAGCCGGCGATCTGCCTTCAGATTACAGACTGGGACTTTGCAATCGAGGTATATCTTACTTTATTTGTTATTTTTTCAACAGTGAGAAGCATTATTGGCGAATTTTACATTCAGCTCCCTAAGGTTTCAAAACTTAGCAGTCAAACCATGTTTTTTTTCTGTATTTCATATTCAACGCCGCGGCCTCGAATGTGATTACACAGAAAGTCAATTTAAGCATTTATCCATTTATTTATCACTAAAAGTGGCATGAAATCAGAAATCTCCTACACCATTTTTCTGTTGCAATTTTTTGTTTACCTTCATTATATATGATGCGTACATATAATGACATTATATTCATATTATGTTATTTATTTAATAAAATAAAACACGTAAAAGTGGTGCATAACATTGATCCGAAAAAGAGAAAATGTTTTTTTGTTTTTGTTTTTATTTTTTTTCAAATTGGCCACATGGACTGGCCTTAACATAGCACCGGAGATGTAAGGCAATTAATTATTGTTTGAGATGATTTACAATTAACGTGATTTGTTTTCGGTTTGACCCAATTTTAGGCTAACTTGATTGGTCATTCCATTCACACTAATGTGTTAGAACTTTGTATTCTATCAATTTTTTTAATGAAATTTCTATCGTTTGAAAAAAAAATAAAAAATATAGTTTAAAGGGCAATTTCAACAGCAGCATTCAAAATGTCTATTCGAACTCAATTTATTTTTTTCAAGGTAAAATGAAGAGAAAAATGTAAAACCGACCAATCATGGAGTTTATTCGTTTGGATATCAATGACCCAATAGATTTAAAACTATTAATTTTAAATTTTAGTTATTAGTTTGAGATTCGAAAGATGGATTAATTATTATTTTGAGTCTTGAAAGTTGGAAGATAAAATCTCTCAATTTAAAATCCGAATAATTTAGAATTTTATATTTTTATTGAATTGTATGTATTCATAAAATACATATTTTTTTATAACTTATATTACATATAATTTTTTTTCATATTTTTTATATTGCTTTAAGTTTTATTTAAGATTTGATTTTTATTTTATATTTTTTAAAGTTATATTCAAAATTTTAAAATTGATAGATTCAAACCATGAATCGATGAATTTAATCATCATTCACATAATTGATTGATACTTTCTTATCGTTCAAATCTTAAATTGATAGATATTATCTTTTACAATCGAATTGATAGTTGACTCATCTTTCAAGATCGTGACTCATAAACCTCCGTAATTTTATTTTTAATTTTTCTAATTTAAAAAATACATGCTATGAAAAATATAACTTTTGTTCTGAAATTAATTATTTGCAAATTCAAAAAATTATCATTAAACTCATCTATTTAATGTTTTAAGTTATTGTAAACAAGTAGTTTTATATAATTAATAAATAAAAAATCATTCAAATATATATCATATTTGAGTAGTGCATAATTACAAAGATCTCCAATCCAAATAATTTCTTTATTAGTTAAATAAAAATAAAAAAAAATAAAAATTAGCTTTATTCATGCCTTTTACTACTTAGCATATAAACAGAAGGAATAATTAGTCTTTTTTTTCTAATAAATAAATAAAGATTATGTAAAGAAATTAGTCTTTTCCTTTAAAAAAGGAAATTATTAAAATTACGGTTATGAAACTTTATTTATAATAATTCATGTTTTTTTGGCAGATTATATATAAATATATATGGATTTGATTTATTTTAAAAAGTTACTACTCTAGGTAAGTAATAATAATAAATTTCCAAGTTTTTCTGATGATATTTCCTATATATGTTAATCTCTTTATATATAGGGATATTTTCACACATACTACATGAAATAAAAAAATTTTCACTTTTACCTTCCTAGATCAATGAATAGGATATATACCTAATCAAGCTATTTTATTTACCTGATTGTCTAAATATCAGTTATCTTTTGTAACGTCCTCTATCCATATCAGTTATCCTTTGGTGGCGTGATTTACTCATTTAATTCCTTAATTCCCGAACTGGAATTCTTTAATTCACGTAGCTCTCAGGTGGTATATATTGAGTATATGTTAGTATATATTCAGTATATGTGCGCAACTAAAATTCCTTAATTCACGTAACTCTCGGGTGGTATATATTGAGTTTATGTTAGTATATATTCAGTATATGTGTGCAACTGGAATTCCTTAATTCACGCAGCTGGTATATATTGTGTTTATGTTAGTATATATTCAGTATATGTTGCAATGAAAAAAATGTCTTCCATCAAAAATTGTATCTTCCTCTTTTTTCCTTTTATACATAAAAGTATATATATAGTTTAAAAACATATTATAACATATTACTTAATATAAAATCATACATATACACAACACCAAAAAAAAAATTCAGTTTATGCTATTTTAAAATAAATTTTATACATAAAAATTAGGTCTCGCGATAAATTTCTTTATCATATACTGAAAATATACAGAGTATAAATCATACATATACAAAAAAAAAATAAAAAATCATCAGTTTATGCTTTGTCAATATAAACCATATATACATACATATAAGGTAGCCCTTATATTATACAGAACATATACCTTAAATATACATAACATATACCCGATTAATTCATGGACCCCCACCCACAATCTCCAATTTCCCAGTTTTTTTTCCATCGTCTTCACAACCTCCATCGCGTACTCCACTTGGAACAGCCGCCCCGCCGGCAACCACGTCGTCTTGTTGGTGTCGTATTGATTCCTGAACATTTTATAAACTCGGCTTTTCAAAATTCCCGAGATGGGTGCAGTGATTTATGTCTGCCTTTCTCGAAAACCCGGCGGTGGAGGCTCGTCGGTGACGGCTCGTCTCTTGGCTTCAGACTTGATCGAACGTCACCCGAGGGAGAAGGAGTTGCTGTTGTTCGGGACCCCTGGTTCTCCCTTGCTGCACGGCGGTCGGAACTCGCGGTTTCACTGCTATGCCCATGGTTGATCGGACAAGAATCTGATGAAGACGTCGCGCGGCTATGGTGGATTGACGAAGAGGGTTGAGAAAATATTTTCTCTAAAATTCTGATGATGATTGATCAATTAATTATGCGAAGAGTTTTATGAGATTTTGAGCGAAATCGATCGATGAGGAAGAAGAATGGTTCTGAAATTTGGGGCAAATCGTAGGAGAAGGAGATGAGAGGGAGAGAGAAGAATAAGATGAATAGAAAGAGGAAGAGAGAGAA